GCATCAAATTAGTGCCATGGGTGATGAGAGCTGCCAAGGAAAAGTGGCTAAGGATTTCTCTGGAGAGGGAAGTTTTCTGGAAGGTAGGCTGGCTTCAAACTAGGCTTGAGAGAAGGTAGTCTTCACAGCACACACTGTCTCAGGTCTGGACAGGACCACGGGGCTATGCACAGCACTGTGTGTAGCGCAGGCAAGTTTGGCTGGAAGAGAGGGGCTGTGAAGGAAGATCATGATCACACAGTGACATTCAGTTCAAACTGGTTATAAGAAGCATTATAAGGAGCCTTGAAAACCAAACTATGTTGGGCCCTTCCAGTGGAGGAATGGAAGGAGACTGAATGAAGGCAATTCAGAAACAAAATCATAAACTGCTCTTGGCCAGTGTTGGAGTGCTATGGGGAGATTTGTTGGGCAGGAGAGAAGGTAAAGCGTTGCTGTGAGGAAGGGGAGGTTAGAAGCCGGGACACTAGTTAGGAAACCACTACGTTAGTCCAGTCTTCCAGTCATGAAAGGCTGGGAGACTGGGAGAAGGCAAGATAATCGAAGATTCCAGTGTGGCTGGGAACCTTTATCTTTGCAGAGTAAATGAGGGAGCAAATAAACAAGGGCCAATACTCTGAGTGAGAACTGTGACATGTGTGGGCTTAGATGAGTTAGTTAAATGTACAGTCATGGTGGGGGACGGAGGTGGAGGTACCCAGGAAGCAGCGGCAGGCGGGGTACCAGAGTCAGAGCAATCAGAACTGCGGACGCAGGTACGTATGATGTTGATCTCCAGGGAGGTGCACGTCTAAGCCTCGGCAGGCAGCACGACTCTCTCTCTCCAGAGCCCAGGAACAGAGGAAGAACAACAGAGGGGGCTGAAGAACGTGTTTGAGACATGTTCAGATTTAGGGAGAGGAGGAGTTGGAACAAAGAACCGAGAAAAGACGTTATCTGAGAAATAAGTGGAGAAACAGAACAATGGAATGTCCTCCCTGCTGACTGATTCAAAGGTTAAAGAGAATGACAGCCAAGTTCACTGCTGGCTCTGGGAAGAGTAGCTTCAGGAAAATAAGGTGAAAGCTAAACTGCAATGGGTTAAAGAATAATAGTGGAAAGATCAAGGATAATGTCTGTCGGCAAGAAGAAACGCCAGCAAATAAAAGGGGGGAAAAGCAGAGGAAAGATTTTATTCTTAAAGAACTATCATCCATGGGCCTTGAGTGGCATGGCTCAGTGGGTTGGGCATCATAGGGCAAACCGAAAGGTCACTGGTTTGATTTCCCGTCAGGTCATATGCCTGGGTTGCAGGTTCCGTTGCCAGTTGGGGCGGCACAAGAGGCAACGGATTGATGTTTCTCTTATACATTGATGCTTCACTCACTGTCTTCCCCTCTCTTTAAAAATAAATGAGTAAAAATCTTTTTTTTTAAGAGGATTATCCATGGTACAGAGGGTAAGTACTCTGGGGCCCCATATTTGGCCTCTATGGATTGTGGAGGTAATACATAGTCTGGCTCTTTTATCTTTTACTTTTATTTTTGACAATATTTTCAAAACATTTCTTTAAAAGAGGTTTCATTGTCAGAACATATAAAGAACTCTTGCAAATGAAAAAGGGGAAACAATCTGAATTTTTAAAATAGGCAGAAAAACTTAAACTTTCTCAATGAAGATATATGAGTAACCCCAAGTAAGCACATTTAAAGATGTCCAAATGCATTTGTCATTAAACACAAATAAAAATCCCAAGAAGCTTCCACACACCAGCTAAATTGGCTAAAATCAAAAACAGATGGGCAATCAATCACACGTGCCGCAGGGGTGTGGCGCATCCCTCACGCTGCCGGGGTGACAGGCTGGCTCTTCTCATTGAACTTCTACATTTTAGTTTAGCAGCTGACACGCACATCTTTTAACAAAGGACCCTCCCCTAACACTCTATACTTACAATTTATTGCCTTAAATATTTTTTAACCCAAAGTATATTCTCTGGGATACAAGAATATATTTTGTTGCATTGAGTGTACTTTTTACTATCAAAGATGAAACGTAGGAGAATTTTAGAATGTTATAAAGCAAAAGGCAAACATTTCAGTTAATAGGATTTCGGTAACTAAGCACAACCTAGAATATTTTGCACCTTAATTGGGTAAAAGGAACCCTGTTGGTTGGTCACCTGTGGCCTCTTGTATATTACAAAAATCACTCCCTAATATCACCAGAAACTTCTTGCCCAAGCTCCTTGCCCGTCTGCATCCTTCTCCACTGCTAACCTTTGTTCATTTTTTCCTCCTCTTTCCCCTAGATGTTTAGTTTCGGAGCTGGTCTACGTTGTTTGCATCTTCAGTCTTTCCCTCTACTCAGGAGTGTAACTACCACTGATCACGTGGTTAGTGTGTGCCAGGGACCATTCTAAGTGCTTTACATGGTCGTGTCACGCAAACCTCCCAGGGCATTTTATGGACGAGGGGAGCAAAGTGAAGCAGGGAGAGTTTGGGGGGCTTACCCTACCCTGCTCAGAGTTTGTGAGTGATTAGGACCAAGGAAATCTTGCTCCAAAGTCCACAGCCTTCACCAGTTCCTACACTGCCTCTCACCAGTTCCTCTGGGTCTCTTCAAATCTGCATTCCTTCTTTAAAAAAAAAAAGAATTTATTTATTTATTTGCAGAGGGGCAGGGAGAAAGAGAGGGCAAACATCAATGTGTGGTTACCTCTTGCATGCCCCCTACTGGGGACTTGACCCACAACCCAAGCATGTGCCCTGACTGGGAATCAAACTGGTGACTGTTTGGCTCACAGGCCAGCACTCAGTCCACTGAGCCACACCAGCCAGGGCTGCATCCATTCTATTTAGGAACTTCTTCAGAGTAGTAACTTCATTCAGTAATGTTTACAGTGTGATTATGGCCAAGCATGCTGTGCTAGGGGCTGGGGTTTCAGGGTCTAACCATACAGACACCAGAACATGTCCAAGTGAAAGAAACAAATCATTAGAATGGAGAGTGAGGGATGAGAGTACAGTCACAGGTCCTCACCAGGTCAGGGTCAGGGTCAAGGGGAGTTGACTGTCCTCAATACCATCAGTCCTGTTTACTAGCTGGGGACTAGTAAAGTCCCCAACCGGGGAAATGATGGATGTGAGCTCTTTCTAGGCCTGTAAATGAAACAGGTTACATACAGCAGTTCTCCAAAACCTGTCCTTGTCTTTGGTCCTTGATCACTTACAGGGGGCTTCAACAGCCCTCGAACTCTATGCCCTTAACTTCCATATCCTTATGTGAAGCCGGCTGTCCTCTGAGCCCTCACAACAGCAGCCTGTTGGCCATCTCACCAAGACACCCCTATTTCCAGCTCAAACTTACTGGTTCCCAAAACCTTTGGGAATTGAGTGGTGCAGCTCACTTCTGCCATTGGCATCCGCATTCTTCCAGAAACCCAGGGCGGAGCCTCTTTTGATTTGCAGGGTTGTGGGTCAAGTCCCCAGTAGGGGGCATGCAAGAGGTAACCACACATTGATGTTTGCCCTCTTTCTCCCTGCCCCTCTGCAAATAAATAAATAAATTCTTTTTTTTTTTTTAAAGAAGGAATGCAGATTTGAAGAGACCCAGAGGAACTGGTAAGAGGCAGTGTAGGAACTCACAAACTCTGACCCCAACCGGGGTCCCACCTGCCCCCCCCCACCCCCGGCCATACTCAGTCTGTTTCCAAGCTTTTTTGAACTCCTCCTTCCGTTACATTTTTACTGTTTTTACTGCCGCTAGTTTTTACTTCTTAACTAGCCTATCGTATAGCCTACTCCTAACTCAACTCTGGGTATGTCTCAATCCTTTTAGAGAAGCAAAGTACAACTTTAGAATGTATCTTAAACATCACTTGATTAATGACCAAGGAAAACAAATCCAAATGCCCCACCAAAAAATATGTGTGTATCTCACTATATATATACATACATATATATATGTATATATATATATATATATATATATATATATATATATATAGTGAACCTCTACAAATGGACTGTGATTACATTACTTCTTTTTCTCTGCAAATTGTGTCCTAGCCTCTGTGTATAACACAAAATCCATCAGCAACAAAAGACAGCACAGGAAATGAAAAGTTCAATCTACCTATTTTACAGTAAAATTCCAAGGATACAAGGAAGGGACTTGGCAATGCCTCACACAGGGGTGTCCAACCTGCAGTCTGCATGTGGTCCAAGATGGCTATGAGTGCAGCCCAACAAAAAATTGTAAACTTACTTAAAACCTTTTTTTGCCCATCAGCTTTCATTAGTGTTTGTGTATTTAGTGTGTGGCCCAAGACAACTCTTCTTCCAGCGTGGCCCAGAGATGCCAAAAGGTTGGATGCCCCCTGCAAGATAGAATATCAAAGATTTTTTGTTCTTTAATTTTTGTTATACAGCACAAAACTGTTTTTATACTTGTGAAGCTATGGAGAGAAGGGGTTTCTGATTAAATGAATAGAAATTAGCTTGCAAAATCTCCATTATAGCATATAACAATTTCAAATGCAACTTCTGGTTTGATTTCAAGGTTGGCTACCACATCAAAGTCACCTTGGACAGCATTTACTTGATCCACAGGTATTGTAAGTATTATAATCACTGTCTAACCATAAATGTGTATATATTTCCCTAGAGTTCTTTTTTTTTTTAAGATTTTATTTATTTATCTTTAGAGGGGAAGGAAAGGAGAGAGGGAGAGAAACATCAATGTATGGTTGCCTTTCATGCGTCCCCTGCTGGGTACTGGCCTGCAGGGAACCGGCCTAAAACCCCGGTATGTGCCCTGACTCGGAATCGAACCTCGATTGTCTGGTTCACAGGCCCACGCTCAATCCACTGAGCTACACCAGCCAGGGCCCTAGAGTTCTTGATAAAAATAAAAGATCTAAAGAAAAATTACTCTAAATACCTACCCTCGATTAGAAGCTTCCATCAATATTTAGGGAAAGGAAATTACACCAAACACAAGGATACTTCACAGCAAGATTTATTAATACATCCAAAAGAAAGAAAGAAAAATCATTTTGTCACACTATATACAGATAATACATACAGTGTTTTATACACATATTACATCGGTTTTTACACAAGAAAAATATACATAAAAATGTAAACTTTTGTATACAAAAACCCTTAAACAAATTAAACAAGGACCAGATAACAAAAGGAGACCAATCCATTATTATTTCATCAAATTTTTAAAACAGTAATACAGTACATTCATTGAGATATATATATGGAAAATGTGAGCCATCTCTTCCTGTTTAAAGGGAAATTACAAACCAAAAGCCCATCACCTTCCGAGATGTGGTTCCCCCAGCAACACTACACCCAATGCCACAGACACACACGCCTTTCCTTCAGGACTGGGCGGCTCCTCCCGAGACCCGCCCATCTCATCGCACTCCTGCAGGCTGTGCAGAGCGAGTGGCTCCTAGCTTTTGTGCACAAAACTAAGCTTCCAGCCGCTATCATCACACATAAAGAGAAGATTCTCAGTTTGTAAGTTCCCTTTAAGCAACTTTTGTTTGTAAATATCTGTAATGTATGGACTGTTAAACATACTTGTGTGCCAAGGTAAATGAGAACACTGAAAAAGATGGGCTTTGAGAACTGCTAGTCCTTGCTACCATGCAGTTAACTTTGTTGAGATTTCAAACTGTGCAACCTGTCATTTACTGGTTTCAAATAAGCTACCTCACCTTTGATTTCCCACTGCAACTTGGTTTCAACTCACACTTCAGTACTCTAGTTAGTACCATACAATTGCCAAGAGGCTTTCTGTTAAAGGCTGCTTCTGATATCAAGTTCCAGCTAAGCCACTCCGAAATCACTCACACCGACCTCTACTTTAGTCTTCAGGGGTACTCTGATGCCAGTATTTTGTTAACATCTCACATTTTGGGATTGTCCATCTACACACTCTTCTCTGTAACATCTTACAACACAATCTGCTGCCAACTCATCACAAAATAAAACGTTTAACAGTTCTTACCATTCTCTCATTTGGTATGTGTGTGTCAAATTGACATATAATGAAAAATACTTGAAGCTGTGGGGAATAAGAATTTAATCTATGTCACGTGCATGCACACGTGGAGTTCCTTTTTTAAAAAATGTCTGGGAAGACCTGTAATTAAATAAATGCAAAACATGTTTAAGGCAGCTTCATGAGTGTGCTGCCTTCTCTTAAAGTTGAATTTTGAAAAAGGCAGAATGATAATTAGGTGATATATTCCCTGCAGCAAGAGAGTAGTTAACTTCCCCCAGGCAAAATGATCTGGACGATCATTATTTACTAATGAAAGGAGAGGCAAACCGGTGAGTTCGGCTGATCTAGGAGACGGTGGATGACAGACACTAATGGAAATATTAGGGCTGCTTTATACCTGAAATAAACAGGCTGGTTTGTGGGGCACCGCTAGTTCAGGAAGAGGGACGACGCACAGGGCTCCTCAGGGGAGTCTCCCGCTCTCTCCTCCCGTGGGGAAGATGGCATCTTAAAAACGACAGCCTCCATTTCAATGAAAAAAAAAAAAAAAACAACAATAAAAGGAAAAGGAAGATAAATAAATAACGTGTGGATGTCTTTAGATGAGACTTTTAAATGTTCTTTAAATAATTTTTGATAATGTATTTTAAATCATTACATACAACTGCCATTGCAGTAATAATATTCCAGTAGGGGCAGCATTTTGCTAAATGTAAAAGATTGCCATTTAAAACTCATACATATACATGTGTATGTACAGTATATCAACACCATTTATATACATATATATCTAGAGAGCAACATTTCATTGCCTTGGAATATTTATGTATCCACTCCCACAATACATACTAAAGACATACTGTGTGAGTATACAGGAAAGTATATGTACACATGCTCCAACATGTATAAATACACTTTTGTCTGTGTATGCATAAGAGCTTTAAAGGCACAATAGATAGGGATCAAAGTTTTCTAGAGAGCTGCAGCAAAGTGAAAACAATGTCACAAACGTGAGACAAGTCAAAAGGAAACACAGTGGAATTCCTTGCTCAAGAATTCACTAAAGCAGTTTCATGAGTAAAATGAGTTATAAAATTCAAGAGGCTTACATGTCACTTTGTATGCTTTCCATTAAAACAAAATGGTCAATTTGTGATTAAATCAAAGATAAATTTTTAAATGACAAAGAGAAATAAACCTAATAATAGTATCAATCATAAAATCAAACCTTTTCAATTTAAGTAAAATGGCTCAAAATTATCTAGGTAAAAATCTTCAAATGAGTTCTGTTTAAATGTTGACTTTTGGTTGGTTGTTTTTGAGATAGAGATGAATGCCTGATTCTCAAAATTACTATAGAAAATATTATCAAAATTTATATTTCCTGGGACATTTCAGAAATAAAGATCTTTAAAAGAAACAACCGAGAAATTAATGAAACACACTTAACACAGATGCTTCTGGCTAGAATGAACACAACAAAGGAGAAAAACCACAATGATGTTTTAAATGTTGAGACTGACCTTGAAGGTGGTGAGGATGAAGAACAGTAGAACTGACAAGTGAGAATAGTTCTAACAGAAACTCAGTGACAATCACCATGAACAAGACTATGATCCAAAGGATTTCCTCCCTCTTAGTGCGCCATGAAGACGGGCTCTTGACGGTCACCTCCTACTGGTTACAGAATCATCCAGAGTTTTCCACAGATGTATAATCTTGCTTAACAAAGGCTGTTTCTCTATTATACACACACATTTTTAGGGAAATATATGTATATAGCTTTATCTATACACACACATATACATACGTGTATATATAGATTTATACAAATGTATAAATAAACATAATACTTCTCAACCTTTCCATTGACAAGGCAAGTTCACATTCAGCAAAGTGCCACCACGTCCCATATACACATCTCTATACAGATATACACAAAGGGTCAAATTTCACCCTTCAATTAGGGGGAATTTATTCCACAAATCCCATTGATCAGTAACTGAAGGGAGAAATGGCACCAATACAAACTCCCTTCTTTCATTTGCATGCATATATACAAGAAATATGCAGATTTTTAAAAATCCATAAAACAAGAGTGAATGGAATTGGGAGATACTGCAAAAAATACAACTGTAAAAAAAACATAAAGCTTTCCTAGGTCTTGACTATATATAAGATGGATGAGGCTTCAAAGGTAACTACAAACTCAGGTGTATTATTAGAAGTTGTTTTGACATAGTTCAAAGGACATGATTTTTTTTGTATTAAAAATAAACATGACTGGAGCATTTAATAACAACTTCAGTTTTAATTATTTTAGACCACCAGATACTCCAGTAATGAATGTACAGCAAAATGGCAAACCTCAAAATACAGCAATGTTTAATTCCATACGAATCAAGTCCAGGGTAGCGTATTTTTTCCTATAGCCAAAATGTGGGGGGAGGAGGGAGTGCTAACTTCATAAATAATAGCACAACTGAGTAACTTTTGTCCATCTTTGGAAATAACTGAATTCCTGTTTTGAGATATGCATGATGAAATGATCCCACCAACTCCTGAAACAAAGCAGCCCCTTCGAAACAAATTGGCATTCTTTACGAAAGGCCTATAATTTTCTTAACTTCACCAAGAAAAGATAATCAACAGTATTTTCTAACTCGGAATATGAAGAAATCTATGGATGTAAAAAAAAAAAGGTTTCACTGATTTCTGGTCCCATCTCCCCAACAGATAAACACAGTTCTGTCTTATTTTTATGCTCAAAAGTGGGAGGCTGGTCTCAGAGCCTGCTGTTTCTTATGTCATTTTAAAAACACAGAGCAATATAAGTTAATCAAAATGGCAGAATAAAATGCACATGATATCAGAGCTAGCCTTTTCACATAAGAAAACATGAAGAATTTGGTGTGTCTATACAACAGAGACACTGCGAGGGTAATTCCAATACCCTCCACGAAGTCAGTCGTATTTCTCCAATACATTGTTACTTTTCTCTAGTTTTACTGAAGCACACATTCATCTCTCACACACGTGCACCCAATGTATATTTTTGCATGTGTGTAAAAGCACAAACATATACATGCACACAAGAAATTTAATTCTATTTTTAAGTCACAGTGGGAATTCCTTAGTGAGGAGGGATAAAAAGATTCCTGAATAAGACACTGAGAACATCTAGACTTATTATTTCTCTATTTTACTCCCCAACTTACAGAATCAACTGTAAATTAACGAATGAATCCATAGGAAATAAAAGAGGTCTGAAAAACTTAGTTTACAAATTCTGGCTACAGTAGTTGGGAATTGTACTTGATCTATGTATTTCTATTTACCCTGTAACTAAGCGTCTAGCCATCTTAAGTGTAAACCACAGATCATTTACTAAAGAAACATGATTCTCAACAGTTCTATGAGCAGTAATAAATGGTCTAAAGGTGTTCTACATTTGGAGGCCCCAGGATATCCTTTTATTTTATATCTGCAAGGTAGCAAAGGATAGCTATACACCTTGACACGGCAGAGATCCAGTGTAAAAAGGTGCTTCACTAGTTTGTTTTGTCAAAAAAAAAAAAAAGCTCATATATAATTTTTTAGCTATTAAACACATAGGCAACGTAACTCATTACACTCAATACAGCTTTAGTATAAAACTTATAATTTATGAGGTGATGTTAATAGCATAAATTAATATACCTTTTCTCTTAAAATCTACAATAAGTTTTCTGAAAGCTCATTGGGGAAGGAGATTTTTAAATAAAAGTTTTAAAGCTGTGCATGATGGGAAAGGATTCTGAATGCCGAAGCTGAGACGAGAGGCGGAAGGAGAAAGGGAAAAAGGCCTATGCAAGACACTGTGGGCTATGAAACCAAGTGTTTTCTCTTTCTTGCGCTCTCTTCGATGATGAGTCACCTTTAGTTTCTTGAAAACTATTTTTTTATTTTAAAATCTGCCCTAATTTCCACAAGGAATCCCTGAGACATACTCAACACTGTACAGTGAAAAGAACTATCACTGTTGAGAGGAACTGATTCAGCCCTTCCAAGCGGATGAAGACATCGCCCCCCCTAATCTGCTGGAGCCCACTGGACCTTAGTGAGGCAGGTGGAGCCACTCAGGGCACATCAGTCCAATCCCCAAGCAAAAGCAACGCTGTGGCTTTTAGCTGGACTGGAGCCTTCTGCACTGCAGGTTGAAAATTTTTCCAAGGGGAACTTTGGGTGCATACAAAGCTTACTTCAGTGGTCCCCAGCTTAAAACAACAATTAAAACAAAAACCGAGTGAGAGAGGATTCTGTTACTCAGGCCAGGATCTGTACAGACCGTGCGTGGGTCTTGTGTGCGGGCACACTTGGGGGGGGGGGGTGGCTGGGCTGTGCTGGGCGTGCAAGCAGGCAGAGGGAAGCAAAGGGAAGGAAAGCCGACTGCCCTGCAGAGCTCACTAGAAAGAGTTAGACAGGTTTTCTTATTAGATTGTTTTGCAGACTAAACTTCACATCACCAAAAATTCTGCCAGTGAAAGGAACCAAACGTTCCCAAGATCCAGGACCTAAAGGTAAAAGAAAGCCATACTAAATATGTGCTCTCTCTGTGGCCATATTTCCTTTTACTAGCTCTGTGTCACAGTGCAGAGAGAGGAAAACTAACAAACAGTAAGGGCTGGAGTAAAAAGAGAATTTCTGTTATTTGGAAATAAGGCTCTCTAAATTTCACCCACAATTTTTGCATTAACGAGACGTTACTATTCATTTATGTTTTGTTTTCTTTCCTAACTCACTGGTTAGGGGGAAATGAGTATGTTCTTTACTGGTATTTTATTACAAATCTTTTCAAAGACAGCATTTAAAATCTTACTTTCATCTACTAAACATGGATTTTGGATCTCTCCAGAATATACTGGAAATCTTATAAAATTCAAGATAGTAAGAAGTCATTACATTGTTTTACTTCTCTGTAGAATGCCAGTGAAGATTCAATTATTTTCAATGATTTGAGAGAGGGAAAAAGACCTATGTTCTATCATGTACATATATTCCCACCCCTCACCCCTACCCCCTAGAAATACATTTGTCAGAAAACAAGTTCTTCAAGTGATGTAAATCTTGGTGATGAAAGAGATACAAATGAAGACTGTTTGGTAAGACTACTATTTTCTTTCTAAGAATACTTTAAATTGCCTCAATAAAATAGAGAGGTCTGTTGACCATTTAGAAGAAATTAATATTAGATTATTATATATATACCAGATTAAAAACAGAATTTAATTGAATGTTAAAAGAAGGCAAAAGAGAAAAAGAATGAAGAAAATGGAAACACCTAAAAAATTTTTTAACGACTTTTAAACCTATTAAATAATTAGTGTTATTAATAGCCTCATCTTTTTACAATATCAATCCACAACAAACAACCTTTTGAACTAACTTGGAGAAAGGGCAGCTGCCTCCCACCTACCAACCACCCGGCACCCCCACGACCCAAACCCGCAGGGGGGCTGCTGGCCGGTGTCCGTGAGCTGCCAGCCTGGGACTTCCCTGCGTACATGCAAACGCCAGTGCCCACAAATAAAAACTGAAGTTCTGTCCGGCAAGAAGAATGCTGTGTTGATAGGGTGTAGCACAGACACCATCGCTTTCCAAACCAAAGAACTGTCTTTGCTCCTCTCGGCTGGGATCACGTGTTGAGAACGGTAAAGAAAAGCTTTAGTGTCAGTCACAGAAAATGATGCTTCCTAACTTGCGGCTGAGGGACTGGGTCTATTTAAGAAATAAGTCTCATAAATAATTATTTGGCAAAGATAAAGTATTAGCTTTCTTTAGCCTGAAGCCACTCAAGACATTAACTACAGCTTTAAGAAAAAAATATTTCCAACTTTATCTCCACACCTACTCTCTGCTTCTCACTAACTTATCTCTTGGTGGAGGGACACCAGACACGCCACGCTGCCTACCAACATGGGACTGCTCAGGAGGAGTTTGTAAAGCAGTCACACCTCACACGGTAGCTCACTAGAGAAAACAATCCTCCACCGTATAAGCTATGTGACGATAATTAGAAAATCTTTTCATTGCATAGTCTGTTACTTGGTGAGTAAAGTGTAATTGCTATTAACTTTTGTGAATTGTTTACTAGCTACGAAACCTAACCAGATGTGCAAATTGCTAAGCCATTTTTAACAGAGGAAAAAACAACATCTTAAGTACTTTAATTAAAATAATATTTAACAATTAGGTAGAGAGTAAAAAAGAGGAAAACACATCTTTTCTTCGGATGCTATAGATCACAGCCAATGAGTATCATAGGTCAGAATGGAATTCCGATGTTCAGAACAGAGTATATCCATTAACTGCAGCAACTCAGTCAATTAAATCACATTACAATCTAACTGGCCTTTATAAATGGTCCCAAAGAACGGCAGATAGAATGAACCTTCTTTGCCACTACTTCTCATGAGTTTAACACAAGAATAAAAGCTAGCTTCCACTTAATTAGGACCTTATAGAAAATGTTTTTGATTCCAGTATTGCCTTATTATAGCATAAGTGCTATTTCGAAAGACACTAATTTTCATATTTCTGGGGTAAAAGACACTTCATTCCTTTCTCTACATATTAATAGCGAACCTAGTACTAACAGACCAGAATTGCTCCCTTAGCTACGAGAAAAACATAATGTGTCTGTATCTCTGGGTTCACAGGGGTTCTCTCTCCTGAAAAGGGACTCAAGAAACAGCAAGCGCAAAACAAATCGCGAGCTCGGATATTTGTTTGGAAGTAGATGAAATGAGAAGGGGAAATTTTGTTTAACTAATTCCTCAAGCCTACACTGGCACTGTCTACGGGATGCCCTTTCTTCAGCTATTATCAGGGGCATCTACACAAAAATGAATTTACTCAAAGTTTTTGGTGTGAAGCTGTAACTGGCAACATTCCTGATCACTTCTTGCCTCCTTACCAGAAAGCAGAAAAGGGCTTTTAAATGCACATAAACAGAAAATTGCAAACAATAAAATGTGCAACTCACTGCAAACTCAGTTTTGATAACTGAAGAATTTTAAGCAGCTCCCGCAAGGGACAGATAGCCAGAGAAGCTGAAAATGACCACCGTGACTTTCCCTTTGCTGTCAAAGAAAGGCTGGTAAGAGTCAATGCGCTGCTCTGCTGCAATCTCGAACGCGTACACGATGGAGACAAAATCGCACTGCTGGGAACGGAGAGCTGTTTATTATAATGGGGTGTGAAAAGAGTTTAGCAAACTGACACTTTTGAGCAGAAGTAACTACTCAACCATTTCGTTACAGTACATTAAAATAAAAAAGCTTACTAACATAGGTTTCACAGGTGAGAAATGTTCAGTTGATCTGTTCTCACCATTCAGAATAGAAATTTACGGTGATACCAAATATAATTTTGCTTTGTGACATAATTTATAATTTAGAAATTTCTCAATCTGCAAAAAAGGCAAAGCTATTAAAAATAAATCTCCCAATCAATTATCATGATTAAAAAAAAACTAAATATATTACAAACATATTTTTGGCCCACAAAAAGAAACTTCAATAAATACAAAATAGGGCATATAATGGTTTCTTACAGTTGTGTGACCTTTCCCCTCCATAACTGCCTGCTGATCACCATCATTCCTTTAAAAAGCAGAGGAAGAAAAGTTTGCAGAAGAAGGGACTGGTTAAAAGTAGCATGGCATAAAGAGAATACATATAGGAAGTAGGAAAATACATCCAAATCTTTACTTATTGAAAAGGAATTAAGATCAAATATTCCCTGACAAATGAAACATTATATCACATCATTAATAGAACATTCTCTCTACCTTATCTTTTAAAATATATATGTAAATTAGACTAGACTCAGGTATTTATACCCAATGGTTATCTCAGGGGACAGTGAACCGTCTCAGCAAAATCAGGAGACAGATGCCTTTAAAATCTAGTTCCACCCTTCTGGGGGAAGTGGGTGGGGGAAGGCAGGGGAGAAGGCAGGTAAAAAGAAAACTCACATACTCGTTTGGTAGTCACCAATTTGCTAAGCTACCCAATATGATTTTTAAGCCTAAAATCTTGGTACTTTAAGACAACTTCCCAAACTTAAAACTTAACCACTGAAACTATTTTAAAAGTACCAAAGGATGGGTAAAATTTATGTCTCATTTCCATAATCTGTTTTGAAAAAACTTTAAAATGTGTATCCTTCAGATAGTACATATCACTTCACAACTGGTACACTGATTCTACAAGTGTCTTCAACATTTTACAAATCTTACCAAAGAAGCACTACTGTAAACATGAAAATTTCAAAAGCAAAAGACGGATCAAAAAGTTCACAGATGCCATCTTCCAAATCTATCTGACCTATCCTGCTTTTCACACAAATATTTTCTTTAATTACATCTTGCGAATGTATTCCAAGACAGAGGGACTTAGAACAAATGCATGTCTAAAAAGGCAATATAACCAGAAGACCTCAGTATCTCAGCAACCCCACAGTCATTCCAGGCAAGCCTTTCACGACACCCCCCACAACACTGTTGTGAATTCACCTCTTCCATGTTCCTGGCTAACTCAGCAGAAAAGGGTTGTGCTACTCCGTGACCGGACCACCACCCTCTCTATTCAGGAAACTTAGTTAACTCAGTGGGTGAGAACGACCAACCTCCCTAGGGCTGTGAGATGTGGGAAAGAAGAAAGCGCCTTATATACTCACTCATTCGGAAAAAAAAAAGGAAACAATGGGACAGCTGTTTCCTGCCCTGCACAAAACACACGTGTGGGTGCACACATACACATAGGCAGTCAAAAGACCAATTTTTTCTTTTTAATTAAACATGATCACAATTAGGAATGGAATCCTGGCCTCACGTGGTATTTAGCCGTCGGTGCTAAGTCAGAACCTTGACCTGCCTCTACACACCACCGGCTACGTCTCACACACAAGGACTTGGTGAATAGGATCATTCTATCTGGAACCACCTATGTAAAGACCTGGTAAGAGAATGGAAAGCATTGATCTGAAGACTAGGAAATAGTAAAGGGCACTGGTAATCTGAGGTATCTTCCACTTCTAGGACTTGCTGCTGAAAGTCAATTCCATGCAGTCACTGTGCTGAGCCACTGAGGAAACCGTGGGGGAGTGAACCTGCCAGGAGGGAATGAGCACCGGTGCGCAGAGCACATGTGAACACTGAAGCGAGGTCCACTGCAGGGCAACTTGTTTAACTGGAGAAGGGGGTCCCCTGGGGTCCCCATCCATTATTTTTAAAATCTTCTTTAGGAAAAGGGGAAGGGGCGATAAAGAGGAAACAAAGATAGAAAACACCAGGTTCCCCACTTGCCTGCAAACACACAGACACACTCAGTTAGGGGAGGTAAAGGGAGAGGATGCATTATTGGTACTTGTAGCTGTGGCACCTGTTACTGTGAAGCCTGTAGGAGGGGCTATAGAACTGTGGCTGGGCTGCAGGTCCTTGGGAATGCCACTGTGAGAACTCAGCTGGTGGCCGAAGGCTGCGCTGAACTGAGGGAGTTGCTGCTTGGGAGAGGTGGAGGCCATTAGTTCCGCAGAGGGCCCCATGCCACTGAAGCTGGTCTGCGGCAACCCCGGAAGCACGCTGGAGCTGCTGGGGGTCACGGTGGCGAAGGCAGGCTGTGTGGTCTCTGAGTTCGAAGTGGTGGGTGGCGTGGATAGGGAAGTGGAAAGAAGATGTCCATCTGCGTCGAGAAGGTTGCTAAATGGAGAGGGATCTCCAAGGTTGACAGGGAGATTGCCCCAATGAGTTCTGGGGTTGACAACTCCTCCAAGTGGCACCTCAAGTTGGGGTGGGAGCAAGTGCTGTGCCATGATGGGCATCTCTGCTGAAAAGGTAGCTGCCATATTATCACCAGAGTAAGATGTCGTGTGGGGAGAGGTGATATGGTCACTGTAGGGAGACGGCACGTGCTCACTATCATAATGGCTTCCATGGGGCGAGGAGTGTGAATGATCACTGCTGTATTGCTGTCGTGAGGTGATTAGGTCATCTGCCTTGCTCAGCAGCTGGGCAGGATGTGGCCTCTGGGAGGCATGGCTGCCATCATGAAGTCCATGAAACTGTCCTGGGAAGGCTCTCTCCCCAAGTGCACTCTGGCTGATCAGAGTGGCAGAAGTAAGGCCGACGTTGGCTGGGGCAGAGAACTGCCCCTGGATCTGCCCTGCCAGGGGTGTAGGTGGGTTAGACAAGGTAGCAGAACGGAGCAGGTTCTCATCCAGCTCTAGACTAGAAAAATTATCATGGACTATGCGCCCATTCAACAGCTCCCCTAGGTCCGTGTTTACTTCTCGGCTCAGGGACTGAATTCCTGAAGCTCCAGTACCTGTGGAGAACACCCCCATTCCTCTATCGGACAACTCCTGGACTGGCACACCGTCTGACTGGGTAAGTACCCCAATGGTACTCAGGCACTCGAGAGAAGTTACAGCCTGCAAGGCTCGTTCAAGTTCCTCAGCCTCTTCGGTCGTTGGGAGGAGGTCTCCGTTCTTTCCTGAGTAAATGAAAGCCACCAAGAATCATCAGCAAGGCTCTTACATGTCTCATACTACAAAACACATACATCTCCACTACCCTCGACACTATTCTATGAAAGAGGGGCCCTGCTGAGAAGAGGAGTTCGCAAGGATTGGACTGGAAGGAGAAAGTGAAATGTTAACCCGCAGGACAGGTCTGAAATGTCAAGTTGTCCGGGAGCTTGGACCACACCTTCAGTTTATTTACAGACACTCTCTCATCAAAGTGTCAGGAAGGAGACTCGACTGAGTGGCATGCAGAGGATGTATTACAGAATTGTACACCTGAAACCGTACAATTTGATTAACCCATGTCACCCCAATAAACTCAATTTTTAAAAAAGTGTCTCATTCTTGGGAATTCTAAGTACTACCAATTTAAAACTCATAGTGGTTTACCTGAATATACATGCTTTTCCTAAAAGTTTTATTAAAGCCATTAAAATAAAAGCCACCCTATCAGCTCAGATCTGAGACAATGGCTGCATAGGGGAGTGGACAGAGCAATCCTGCCCTCAGACTCTCGCGCGCAGGCGGGGGAGGGGGGCAGCTGCGGAGGGCCAGAGCGCAGACACCCACAGGTGCACTGCAGCACAGCACCGGGCAATCAGCCCACCTCACGGGTTGTCTCTTATATGCTTCTGCGCTGCTTCCGAACACTTCCCTCTTCTTCATTTCTCCCACATTTCTAACTAATCTTTGTAAAATGGAAGCCCACGGGCCCACACTGATTTTACTTCCAGTATTAAAAAAACCTACTGAAACTTGATTAATCAGCACAAAATATCTGGTTTAAACAGTGAAAGGAACATTCTGAAGGTATAAAAAATTTCCCATGAAAGCACTAGAGAATTGGTGGCATTGAGCAAACTGTTTTGGAAAACTACACTTTAACTGAAGTACAAGGTAGGGAATTAAAATCAGGACAAGTTCTAAAAACACTTCAATAAGCCCAAGTTGTAATGTCTTTGCTTTGCTCAAAAATAAACTCCAGTAAAATGACTCATTTTAAAAGAATGAAGTTATGAACCTAGCTATCAAATTGTACAATCCTTACCTTTTGAAAGGGTAAATTAGCCTATGCAGTATCACACTTTTTTTTTATCTACAGTAAAAGACATTAGACATGAGGTGGGATATTTCAAACACATCTCAGAAAACTGTTTTGTGCCCGATGGGCATGGCTCAGTGGGTTGGGCATTGCTGCACAAAGTCAAAAGTTGTGGTTTGGTTCCCAGTCAGGACACGTGCTGGGGTTGTGGGCCAGGTCCCCAGTTAGGGGCGTCTGAGAGGCAACTGATCAATGTGTCTCTCACACATCCACATTTCTCTCCCTCTCTTTCTCTCTCCAATCCCCTCCATCTAAAAACAAATAAATCTTTAAAAGAAAACTATTTTCCTTTTTAAGAACCCATTTTACTTGGATGACAATATTGACCATACCTTCAAAAAAATCAAAATCCTGTAAGTCATCAGGTAGCCGTGGCAGGACATCTGAAAAGTCCTCCTGGTTCAGTTCCAAGTCGTGTGGAATGTCAGTGATCTCATTGGCAATGTCATCCGGCAACTCATCAGCACTCAGCTCTGGCGTGGACGGGCTCCTGGGGAAGATGACATGGTTGGCCCCGGCACTCTCTTTTTACCTTCGCACCAATGTCACAGAGACAAGTTCCTCCAACAAGAAAATTGAAAACCCTAACTCGAAACACCCCCTTCCTACTTCAGGAGAAGGCAATCTGAAAGCAACATGACAGACCTCACCATACACAATCACATTTCTACAACCTCTATCCAGGTATTGACACAACCACTTGAAGATAATATTTTTAACTTCAAATCAGTATAATGAATCACAGCTTGGTGTATCAAGTGTGTCTTCACAGTTTGGCAGCCTGATATACCAAATGGCCTATCTGTAGCCTGGTTCTAACACTAGACAGTAAATGAAACTAGGCGCCCCGTGAACAATCGGAACACGTAAAGGGGCGTGAACTCGGGCGCCGTCACTGACCGGATCTGGGAGGCCTCCACTGGCAGTGAGACGCTGGTGGGCATGCTGAGGTTCCCTTGGGGTACTGCAGGGGGAATGGGTTTTTGGGGTCGACGAGGTCCGCGCCTTCGCTTCTTCTTGTGTTTTTTGGTAAGTGCAGGAGGCTTGGTTTTTTTCCTGGGTTTCCTCTGCTGCTGGTGCTGAACTTTGCGGGAGCTATCTCCTCTCAAGAAATTATCCTTTGAAATGAATAAATGGGTATTTTTAAACTGAGATTGGGAGAAACCTGACAGCTACCTAAAAAATACTTATGGCTCTTAATATTTTATATAATGCCTAAAACACACTGCATACCTAAAACTATGTATAACAATAATAAATGAATAGAAACTCATTTTTATTTAATTCAAATCAATTCAATATATACATATAGTTTATCCCACATTTAAAGACACTGTGATGAGTGCTGTAGTATAAAACATTTTTTTAAATTTAATTTCCACTCAAAGAACTTACTCTACCATGGGGAAAACATAAACACAAGTATAATTAAGTACAGAACAGAGAAAGTTGTGCAGTAGTGATATAAGCACCTTCTATGGGTACACAAAAGAAAACACTTATTTTTAGTTTTGTTGGATTAAAGGACAAGTAAAATTTTACATCATTGGGGTCAAGGGGAAGCCCATTCTAGGTTAAAGAAAATGGCATGAACCAGACAAAAAGAACAGCAAATAAATGGGTTTGACCAGTACTTGGGGCATACTCGAGGATGAAATGTAAACCTAAGCTATTAAAGAAGTTTGGTACCAGATCATGTATGACTTTCATTACCCCACTGAAGATTTTAAACTTATTTTATAGGCCATAGAGAATGGTATTTGGTGACAGGAGTAGCATGACTTGACAAATGTTTTAATAGGATTAATACCCTTGTAAGCACTGTGAAGGGACAGCTAAGTGAATGGAGGCAACAGTTCCAATCAGCAGGCTAGTTAACAGTCAACACAGGATGAAGAGCTAAAGGAAGTATAAGTGCGAATGGAAACACAAGGGCCTGACAAGCCAGAGTTCTCATGATCTGACAGCTTCTTGGCTGTGGTGAGGATGGAGGGAAAATAAAGCCCTGATGTGTCACTAGGGTGACTGTTAGATAATGATACTATTAGCTGGGACAGAGAACACAGAAGAATATGGATTCAGAAGAAAAGTTAAGGAATTCAGTTTGGCTCACACACAGTTTGAGGTTTGAGATGTCCAGTAGGTAGAAGAAAGCTATATTTGGTGCCCAGAAATAAAGAAACAAATATGTAGAGCAGGAAATCATGACAGTAAGTCCTTCAAGTAAGGACCCACTGACATGGGTCAGGAAGACCAGGTAAAGAGAGGAGACAATGAGGCTACAACTCATAAAACTGCAATTAACTTCCGGTCAAGATGAAGGGTAGGCAGACACACGTCGTCTCCTCATGCAACCACAAAAAAGATTACAACTAAATCTGAAAACAAATTAACACCAGAACCATAAGAAAAGTGTACAGGAGCCCGACAACCAAGGATTTAAAGAAGCCACACCCATCCAGATGGTAGGAGGGGTGAAGACATGGAGACTTGGCAGAAAGGAGAGGAGATGTGGTCTGGAGCAGTGAGGCAGTGGCAGCAGATCCGGCACAAGCAGTCCTACGCTCACATATGGTGGATAAAGATCAGGAGGGATACCCTGGGAGCAAGCAATCCCATCCCCAGGCCAGACTGCACAGCCCAGGATCCTTGATCCAGGGTTCCAGTATCGGAAAGATAAACCACGTAACTTCTGCCTGTAAAAACCAGTGGGGGTTGGGTGGGAAGAAACTGCCGGATTTTCCGAAAACTACATTTAAAGGAGTTAAGTTTGGTCTTAAAACATACACACACCCATACACATTGCGATCTGGCACCAGGGCAACAGCTGGAAGGGAAGAGCTAACAGCCAGTAGCTAACAGGGAGTGGATGAAGTGACTGGAAATGGGGTCAGTGCCGGCCAAACCCACAGCACAGTTCCCTCTCCAAACCCTCCCCCAACAGAGAGACACATGTGGTGAAGCAGGCTGCGCTGCCCTGGCGATTACCTAAGGCTCTGCCCCACACAATTTACAGGTGCCTAGTACAGAGAGTCAAAGAAGTTCTACTTGAATACACAGAAACAAGCACAGGGAGGCTGCCAAATTGAGAAGATAAACATAACCCAAATGGAAGAACAGAACAAAACCCCAGAAAAAGAACTAAACAAAACAGACAGAGCAAACTTACCAAATGCAATGAGTTCAAAACACTGGTGATCAGAATGCTCAAAGAACTCAATGAGTATGGCAACAACGTAAAGGAAGAAATGAAGATTATACCAAGTGAAATAAAGAAAAATCTATAGGGAACCAACAGTGAAGAGAAGGAAGCTGGGATTCAAATCAATGATTTAGAACAGGGGTGTCAAACTCATTTTCACCAGGGGCTACATCAGCCTCATGGTTGCCTTCAAAGGGCCGAATATAATTTTAGGACTGTATGTGTAACTACTCCTTAACAGTTAAGGAGATGAAATTATATTCGACCCTTTGAAGGGAACCATAATGCTGATGTGGCCCCTGGTGAAAATGAGTTTGACACCCCTGATTTAGAATATAAGGAAGAAATAAACATTCCACCAGAACAAAAAGAAAAAAGAATTAAAAAAAACAAGGATAGTATAAGAAGACTCTGGGACATCTCCAAACAGGCCAACATCCAAGTGATAGGGGCACCATAGAAGGAAAAGAGAAAGAGCAAGACATAAAAAACTTATTTGATAAATAATGAAAAACAACTTCCCCAATTTGGCAAAGAAAACAGACATACAAGTCCAGGAAGTACAGAGAGTCCCAAACAAGCTGGACCCAAAGAGCACCACACCAAGACACATAATTAAAATGCCAAAAGTAAAGATAAAGAGAGAATCTTAAAAGCAGCAAGGGAAAGGCGGAGAGTAATTTACAAAGAAGTTACCGTAAGACTATCAGCTGATTTCTCAAAAGAAATTCTGCAGGCAAGAAGAGACTGGCAAGAAATATTCAAAGTGGTGAAAAGCAAGGACCTACAACCTAGATTACTCTATCTAGCAAAGCTGTCATTTAGAATGGAAGGACAGATAAAGTGCTTCCCAGACAAGGCAAAGCTAAAGGAGTTCATCATCACCAAGCCATTATTACATGAAATGTTAAAGGAACTTATGTAAGAAAAAGAAAACCAAAACTATGAACATTACAAAGGCAACAAATTCACAACTGTGAACAACTAAATAAAAAACAACCAAAACAGAAACAGAATTATAGGTATGGAAATCATTGGGGGGGAGGGTTATTAGCTAGAAAAAGGAAGGGGAGAATGGGAGAAAAGGTGTAGGGGTTAAAAAGCATAATTGGTAGGTACAAAATAGACAGGGGGGTGTTAAGAATAATATAGGGAATGGGGAAGCCGAAGAACTTACATGCATGACCCATGGACATGAAGTAGGTGGGGGTTGCTGGAGGGAAGATGGGCACCAGGCAGAGGGGGACAAAAGGGAAAAATCTGGACAACTACAATAATATAATCAATAAAACATACTTTAAATAAAACCTGCTGCAATTAAGTGAGTAGACAAAGAAAGAAGAATCAGAAACTAACATGAGAATACCGTATTTCATCAATTTCAAGACACACAGTTTCCTATTTTTCCCCTGGGGAACATTTTACATAATCCCGTCTCACAACTGCTGTCAGCCAGGTGACGGTCATTACAGCTGGCACAGCCTGCACACACGCCCAAAGCTGGTCATGGCTCTTCATGCCATCACAGTTTGAATGAATGTATGTGCACTGTTCGTTTTACATGTAGAGGAAAAACTGTTGTGCAGGCAGAAAAATTTTACAGAGAGCAGCAGGGTATAAAATTGTTATTGGTGAAGCAAACATTCAGTATTGAAGAAATGACCACAGTTCCACTTTTTTCAAAGCAAAACTCTAATGAAAAAGGGAAATACCCATAGAGGAGACAAAGCTATGTTAACAGGTGATGTACGCAGAAAATGCTGCATTTCACAGGTCAAGTAATTCAGCTGAAAGCAGGAATGATACAGAAGACAAAATCAATGCCTAACTAAGTCTAAAGAAGCTGTTTCAGTAAGCATAAGACAAAAATTGTAACTGATAAGAAAGGTACTGTGCAGCCTTTTTTCTTTCTGGTTGGTATATAAAACAAGAGTTGTTTTTATTGTACACCTTTGATTTGATGAAGTTAGCAATAACATAATTAAGTACATAAAAAGAGAGTAGACAATAGTATCTAAAGACTAGTAACTATTACTAGCATCAAATAAATTCAAAATAAAAATAAAATTAAAGCATAAATTCAGGAAATCTAAGAGAAGTTTAATCCCAGGCAAATAATTTAATTCAAACACAATTATAGACTTAAAGCCAAAATGCACAAATTCATAAAATAACAAAAAAAAAGCAGCTGTTTCCCAGTCTCTGTAGTTCTTTTTCGCACAAAATTTGAGGTCTTCTTTCATCATGACCCTTATTTAATTCAACAAACAGTGACTGAGCAACTAGTAGTAGTACCCACCAGAGTAGTAGGCATCAGTTCTATGCTTCCCCTCCAGTGCCAGTGTGGATCTTCGATAGGAGGAAGCCTACCTCAAAGTTACCTAGTATTACCTGGCTCTGGTTCTAGGCTTGGGTCTTACTCTTCCAAGCTAATGCCTCACAGCCCAGCAACATTTCTGGTCACGTGCCAGGTAATCCACAGACAACTGTCCACAACTGAGGCCCTGCCTCGCTCTTGGCCATCCCTCACTTAGCTCCTCCAGAGAGCCAGAGCCCCTATATCTTAAAGGCTTTCCTAACGCTGACTGTTCATTTACCTACCCTATTACAAACACTATTCACACCCAACTTTCTCACTACCTCATTCTACTTATATGCCAGGACAATAATGCACTAACTTACCATCTCTTGTATGGTCTCATACAACACATTCTGTCTGCCAGCCTGGACTTCCTGCAGCTTAAGTCTCTTCTACCAGTGCTGTCCTACCTAGTGACCAAGGCTAGTTCCATCGAAAGCTTGACCCCTCCCAGCTATGTGCCAAACCATTATCTATCCAACATCTACTAAACGAGCATCTTTGTTCTAAGCACTGGGGATACAGCAACGACCAGGAAATGCTCTTGCCTTTGTGACGTTCTAGTAGAGAGATACAGACAGTAAACAAACTAATTAATAAATAATGTAATGTTAGGTGGATTTTTTAAATGTTAGAAAAGAATAAGGTAGAGTCTGAGAATAAAACATGACAGGACAGAGGGGAGATGAACAACTTCTTTGGTGAAGTGACAACCGACCAGAAACCTGAATGAAATGAAAAAGTGACACGTGTATAAATCTGGCAGAGCACTCCAGGAAAGGAAAAAACAAGTGCAAAGCCCCTGGGGTGGGAACAGCCACTGAAATACTTATGTAAGTGTTCAAGAAACAGCAAGAAGGTAATGTCGCTGAAACTCGGGAAGTGAGGGGAGGGCACTTCTGTGAAGCCAGACAGGGTGTAAGAGCCAGTGGCTCACAGGACACGGTAGGAACTTCAGATCTGAGTGTCCTTGGGATGGAGAGCCAGTGGAAGGCTGTGATCAGGTCTATATTCTGCTCTAAAGGCTACATAATATGTAATTCCATTTAATAAGACCTTCTGGAAAATGTAAAATTATAGGAACAAAAATTGATCAGTGGAGACAGAGAAAAGGTTTGACTACAAGGAGGTAGAACAGGAATTTCGAGGGATGATGGAACTGTTCTCTACCTCGATTATGGAGGTGGTTATATGACTATATGCACTGTCAAAACTCAGAACTGTACATCAGAAAGAATTAATTTTAATGTATGCAAATTCAAAGAAAGTGGAATACACACACGACCCTCTGTGGCTGGTATATGAACAACATACCTGGATGTGGGGCAGGGACGGGGGTGGGCAAGATAAGAAGGGAGACACCAATCAGGAGACTATTACAACAGTGCAGGCAAAGATGACGGTAGCTAAGGTTACAAAGGTAGCAGTAAAGTAGATAAAGTGTGTTTGGACCCAAGACATATAGTTTGTAAGTTGAGTGAAGAGATTTGCAGTTTTGGCTGCCTAGTGTAAGTCTCTCAAAGTGGGGGAATGATGGGGTATGAGTATTTGCTAAATACTTATGTAATTTATAACCTAAAAACAGCTCGAACTAGTGCCAGATTTTGTAATTGCATTCAGAGAAAACACCATTTTAAAAACTTTGTAAATAAACCTTTTAAAACTCTGATTAATATTTTATTTATAGTATATAAAACGTATATTATTTTATGAGTAATTTTACTATACTAATTCAGCCTTATGTTTGCCTACCTGAATTTGCCTAAGCAGGAATATTTAATCAGCTGGAAAAAAATTAGCCCCTTACAATTACTTTAAAAGAAATTGTATCCTTGGGTTGCCTCGTGTTCTTTAAAAGAAATTGTTATTATGTGAATTCAATAAACATTCACCTTACTGAGTCAATAAAGTACATCCTGAAGAAGTTTTCTTAGTTGACAATACTTTCCTAGTCTTATGAGAAGCATGTCAAATAGCCTAACTTAAAAATCAGAACGCACAGCTGGGATGAGTGACCTCAGCGGTGTGAAAGCCACGGTGCTCACATGACCAAGGGGCATCAGTGAAGACCCACAAAAGTGGTTCAAGAACCTAGGAATCATTTCTTAATCACGACAAAGCCTGAATGAGCTCACAAAAATATCTACATTTTAAATGTTTTAAAATTAAAATGGGAAAATAATTATTCAACATTCGTGTATGTAAGTTTAGTATACAAAATTTCAAAATACACGGCCCATAAAGAAAACTTAAAAAAACAGAGAGAAGCCAGTGAACTAAACACATGGAAACTGAGGTTAAGAAAGCCTGTATTACGAGTTCTTGTTAAACGTTTAGCTAGTGGCAACACAAGGGTCACAAGCTCAGATGGTAAGTCCTACCTGGCCCTTGGTTACCCCGATGTACCTTGAAAACTATAACAGGTTCACAGTGGGTGAGAAGTGCCTCACTCAGCTGTTTAGTACACAAACCTTGCACAATACCTTGCAAATAGCAGAGGAACTCACTGAGTGTCCAATGGGTGAAAACAATAAAAATGCCACTTATTTTAAGTGACTGCATAAATTAGACAGTTCACTAATTCAGGCTTGTCTCTCCACTAAATTATCCTGAATTAATTAGGGCTTATGATACTAACATTAGCAAAAGCAATGATTAAGTTCAGCAGAATTACAGAAAAGTTTGGCTTTTGGCCAAAACTCTGTTAACTATCTAAGGCATTCCCAGAACTGTACATAATACAACAAAAATCTAGAGAAATAAGGCAAAAAGGAGTTTGGGAAATCTGCTATGATTAAGAAAATGTAACAAGAAGAGAGGTACAGAATAAGGATAGATATAAACAAAGTAACCATATTTAACCACTAAAACAGCATTTTTGTTGTTTATAAACAAGGGTATGAAATAGATTCAATGGGTCATGACCAACATTTGATTTTTAGTAAAAAAGAACTAGAAAATATTAGGTACTAAGAGCATTGTTTCATAAAACTTGTTTCAATGACTTATAGACATACATATTTTGTACTAAGTCACAAAATATTTGTGACTAAGGACAGTTATCCAAAGTTTGGGCCTCTGATGAAGAAACCCGAACTTACCATTTTTTTGGCATGTTCTTCACACAGAGGCGTCTGGTGCGTGATGTCAAAAACAGGCACAGAGCACTGCTGTCCATCTGCAAACTTGGCCGTGCAACTTGAGAAGAGCTGCTGAGAGCGGTTCATGAGGATATCTGGGTTTTTTCTAAGTTAAGAGTACAACACACTGAAACTCTAATTACTTGATTTTTAGGCATGGAAAGTTTTCTTCTTTGCTTACTTGTGTTTTCTAAGTATAAATTTTATTATCTATAAAAGCTAAAGAACCAACCTAGCTACTGATAAGAGAAAATGATGACAGTTTTATCATCATTATTTATCAGAGTCTATTTTGCCACTGTGTCCCTAAACACACGTTTTAAGGTCATTCTGATTTCTGTTACTTGTAGAAGCAGAGTCATTTCCTTCTTAACACACTAATTCTTCTTACAAGTTCCAATATAATGTTTTCAAAAAAGAAACTTTCTTTTAAGGGAAACTCCTGCATATGATTCTCATCAAGAATAAAACCAGCTCTGGCTGGTGCGACTCGGCTGGTTGAAGCACCGTTGCATGCACTGAAAGGCCGAGGGCTGGATTCCCAGTCAAGGCACATGCCTGGGTTGCGAGTTCGTGGTCCTCACTGGGGACACGCACAGGAGCCGCAACCCACTGATATTTCTCTCTCACATCGAGGTTCTTCTCTATCTCTCATTCTCTCCCTCCACCTCTTCCCCTCTAAAATCACAAAATATATCTTTGGGTGAGGATTAAAAAACAAAGAAGAAAAAAAAACTGAAACTAACACAAAATAGTATTTAATGAAAACTGTAGTTGAAAAAATAAAGATTACAATTAATTAGCTGGCATCGAAAAGAATAAAAATATAAAGATATAATTCTAAAAAAACCAATCTACCCAAATTTGGATTTTTTTGTTGTACATTTCCAACACCAAACTCAAACTTAACAAAAATCTCCTTTTAAATCAAAACTGTACTATTAAAATTAGAACATCAGCTTTACACAATCAACATTTTAAGTATCCATACCTTTAGTCATTAACTACATCTCCCCCAAATTCACTTTATATCTACTCAGAAAGTATCTTCCTGTTTTTCCTTTCATGTTTTTATCATCACGACTCTTCATAAAGCCTTTACAGCATACAAACTGCTGCTGGGAAAGTTATGAAAACACAACTTCAAGAATAGAAAGGAGAGCAAAAGTCAGATAGCACAGTAAGTAATTGTTACTATATAAATGTTTTAAGTACTACTCAATTTTAAATGTTTAATACAAGTGGGAGTAGTAAGATTTCACAATCAGCTTGAAGCCCTTAATGTAAGTTTTCCTTCAGTGTTACGTTTTCTGTCTGAAGATATCTTCTCTCCTGGTCAGCAATGTTTATCTGTTATTCATTTCCAATCAGTGCTGTACACAATACAAATAGCAAGCTATTCCCACAGTAAAAGGCACACTGGAAAGCTACGTAACTTTCTTGGAAGATGAAATCATATGATTTCATGAATCATATGATTTGATTTTTCCATTGATTAGTGTTACAGCTGCTTCTTATAAACTATCTAGAACCATTGGAAGGACTGAAATTCCGTCACAAAATTGAGTTAAGTGACAGCCCTGGAAGAATCTGCTAGTTGCTGTCAATTTTCCTTACTGTGAACTCCAATGACATAAGCAGGAAAAAATTATTCAGGGGACATTATGGAAATCAGAAGTCATATAAAAATTAAAGTCATTCACTTGCTCAAGAATGAGACACCCGGCCCTGAAGGGTCAGGACTTTCAAACGCACACGCAGTCCAGTTAGTTCACAGGATACGCTGGAAGCAATGCCTGGTGAAGGGAAGGGCTCTGTTCGCGCAGGGCTCGCCCCTCGCCGTCCCGCTGCAGGCCGCGGGCTCCGCCTCCCTCAGCTTGGTCCGGCTTACGCTAAGAAAGAAAAATAATTAATGTTTAAAAAATGCTTAAAGAATCCAGGGAAATTTTCAACACTGAGTTTACCACAACGTAATACCAACATGTTACCTCTCTATATTCATTAAATAAAATGAAGATATGGGTTATAATGATCAGTTCCGCGGTTTCCCCAAACTGCAATCAAAAAAATAATTATATTATAATCTGTTTCAACTGTGCCTTTTTTTTACAAAATTAAAGTGATAATCTGATTCCTTTGGCATCACTAGGGGACAAAGAAAAGTGATGACGAACAGGAGACTAGCTGTGTGACGCTGGCAGGTTAGTTAGCCTTGCTTAAGTCTCAACGTCCTCCCCTGTACAATAGAGGTAAGAGATAAGAAAGGATAACACATTTAAAACACTTAAATACAGAGCACAGCCCTGGCTGGTGTAGCACAGTGGATTGAGCGCGGGCCTGCGAACCACAGGATCGTGGTTCGATTCCCAGTCAGGGCACATGCCTGGGTTGCAGGCCAGTTCCCAGCAGGCCAGTTCCCAGCAGGGGACGCACAAAGGGCAACCACACATTGATGTTTCTCTCCCTCTCTCCTTCCCCCCTTCCCCTCTAAAGATAAATAAATAAAATCTAAAAAAAAAAAAAAAATACAGAGCACAGGGGAACCTAGTTTCTCTGAGAAGGGTAGGTCTCCGAATGAGCAAGCCAAGACCTAAAGGATGCTCTAGGACACTGCCCGCCCCACAGAGGACTGGGCACTCTGAGCAGTGGAGAATGTGGCAGGCGCCGTCCTTATGCAGGTATGTGGGATTCACATGCAGAGTTTTAAACAGCTCTAAACATGGCAACGAGCAGAAAACTCTTAAAGGCATACTATCTTTTTGAGATAAGCAACTGAAAAATAGGTTACTTTCTTACAGCAAATGTAATGAAAACCAAAACACACAAAATAAAATGAAATTACAAAAAATATACAGGTATGTAAGAAATATAATCAATAGCTATAATGCAAATTTGATTTTTCAGTTTTCTGTTTTAACACTTTTTCCCCCTCAAGTAGCTCATCTCTACAGAAAAATTAAAATTCATAGGCTATAAATTTTCTTAACTTTAATTAATAATCCCACTATTTAGAGATAACCATTGCTAATATGTAGATGTACAAACTCCTAAAATGTTATATAGTATATATTCAAGCTTATCTAAAAATAAGTAAAAAAGTGTGAAATAATAAATTCAATACAGAATTAAGCATTCTAAATTTTGAAAATTACTTCCCTAGTTAAGTAAGATGTTTTAGAAATGTTTAATTTAGTTAAGCTAGTACTTTCAGAAGGTATATAATCTAAGTAATTATAAGTTTTCATCACCTAGAGACATTTCTAAAGTAGTAACATACCATAATTTCTTCCTTGAAATATCAGATAACTCTACATCTCCATTCTATAGATTTTCATTCAATACAATATTATGCAAACATTATAAATCATGTTTCTAAAACAATCTTTAAGAACATGGGGGAATGGCTATAATATATTTTTAAGGGGAAAAAAGCTAGATATATAACTCTTAAAACCAGTACAGATCAATTTTGCTTAATTACAAATATAAAAATGAGAAAGTATAAAGACTGACATTTGTATTATGAAACTATTAAAAAAAAGTCATGTTTTAGAATAATGAAAAAAATCATAATTCAGTGTTAAATGGAAAAAAGCAGAAAACAAAAAAATCGTGCATGATTTCAATTTTGCTTTTCAATGCAAGCATGTGGCTTACTGAAGATTTCATACACACATATACACACACACAAAAAGTCTAGAAGGAAACAGAATCAAAATGCTTATGACAGTCTCTCTGATTTGTGAATGGTGATACTCCTTACGGAGATTTTCCCCCTTCTTTTTTTTCTATATTTTTCAAAATAAGCCAAGTATCTATACTATAAACAGAGGGATTTCCTCCCCAAAGAGATGCAATGTTATAAAACATTTTGAACTGATAATATGAGATAATGTAGATAGTGACAGAAAATACATTTCAAAAAAAGCTTTAAGGATGTAAAAAATGTAAAATGCTACTTTTTTAGTAAAAAAACTATAAATATTACTTTAAATAACACAAAAATCCTACATATTATATATATTTTACAGACAGGTAACATTCTCAAATTGTTTATTGAATGAATTTTAATGAAGTTTATATTAGCGTCAAAATCAAAGCAGAGTGCGTAAATATTTCAGACCTAATGTCTGCCGCCCGTGGTGCCTCAACTACCCTCTCAGAAAGCACACAAAGCAGACGAGACGGGTGCTCAGAAACAGGCGTCTGTGCCGGGCTCTGACCTGGTCCGGCTGCACGCCGCCCTCTGCAGTTCCTGGAGTAGCTGTCCGGTGCCCTCTGGCTCTCTGCTGGCCGCCTGCAGCAAGGCTTTCCTAAATGTGTGCCGGCATTTCTTTTGTCGAGATTCTGCCCGCTCCAGGCGGCAGAGGTGCTTATATTTCTGCTGAAAGTAAGTGCAAAGTTGGGTCACCCTGGAGCTCCTACTCTCCGTATCATCATCATCTGACCTGAAAGGTGCAAAGAGAGAAGTGAAAGACTGATTACCCGTTAGGCTCATTTTAGAAAGGGGAAGCATGGGGAGGAAGGTGGCTGGATGCAGAGGGTTAAAACTTGTGGCATGTGAACACATCCTCAGCAAAATTAGAGGAAGAGAATTCCAGTAGTGCTGAAAATAAGTACAGTATTTCAACAAAAAGGCAAGGAGGTAGAGGCAATCCGATGCTTTAAGAAGCTTAACCTTCTCAGCAAATCATAATTTCACAATGCATCAGTGTCTTCTAAATTTTAAATAATTAGGAATTCTTGGGAAGAATATGTATTATTTACCTTTACTTACTAAAAAGTCTGAGTAAATGACATGGCAGTTATGAGGAAACACTCAGCATAATTTCATAAAAGATAGGTCATGCCAGAAACAGCAGTGAATCCTAGCACTGTATCATCAAAAAGATGCCATTTTATACGTACTGGTTTTTAACTACATTTTCCTTCCTACACACAAACAATTTGGATGGTAGGGGTCACAATCATCCTATGTTATGATTTTAAGTATAGGAGATAGATCCTAAACAGCATTTCATACACCACGGTTTATGCTAACGTCCAATGCTTAGTGGCCCTGCAGGGGTGCTGCGCAGAAAAGGATGCAGAGGGCACTGGGTAGGCTCAGCAAGAAAGAGTGCTGGGGTCAGTGAGGGAGCCCTCTGCCAGGGAGGTTAGACAGGTCACTTTTGTATTCTCTTACTGTTTACTGCTGGGAATAGTGCACACTAGACTTGAAAACCGATGGTGTTATTTTACCTTCTTTCTCTTCTTGTAACATAAATAAACAGCACCCATGTGACACTATAAACTAAGCATTATCTTCCTAATCATCTATAAATCATGGCTTGGTTTCTCTGATGTGGCATCCCTCCTTTCTCCTTCAGAATAGTTGATTAACAGGCTGTCTGTCAACCTGTTCAGTATACATCCTAAGGAACACGTTCTCCTCAGTGTATGTTCTCTGCAGATACACCAGTTGAAGATTTTACTTCAATCTTTTCACATATGCAACACTCAACAGTTATTGTCTATTATGCTAAATACTATAAAGGAGAAACAAAACATTTGAAGGAGTTTGCAATGGAACTTAGACAACACAAATGCATCCCAAACATCAGACGATTCAAGACAGATCCAGTAACTAAAACAGTGGGGCAGTCAGACCAATGATTCAAACATCCGACTCAAATTTGAAAAGTCTGGGAGCTCTTTAAAATGTCAGATTCCCACGCCTCACCTCAGATACAAACCAGAGTGCCCACGGGATGGGACCCAGGAACTTGTATTCTGAACTGTCCCCCCAAAACCCACAGCAGGTCTTTATTTGCGAGCTCTAGTAGAGCCGTAAGTGTTGTAAATATCTTAAACACAAAGTAGACACCAATAAGTACCATAAGAGAGGCACAGATAAAGTGCTAAAGTTCACTAGTAAAGGCTGCTGGATGAAAGACAAGAAAAGTTGTAAAGAAAGGGTAGGATCTGAAGAAAAGGCACAAAGGGTACCTCGCAGCGATGAAACAACATAAGCCAAGACACTGAGATGGACAGGGTGGGGGCAGCGAGCACTATGTAGCTCAGTTTGGCTAAGGAGTGGGGTGTGTACGGGAATGTAGTAGATAAATTCAGTAACTTTGAATCTGCATAACGAGGAGAATGTAAGTGCGGCTGATAGAAAAAAGAGAGAAGAAACAGTAAGTTGTAAAGGAAGTAAAGCTAGAGTGGGTAATCACTTGCCAAAATTGTTATTTGAAAAGACTCTTACTGCATAGAGGACTGGCCTAGATTAGTGGTTCTCAAGTTAACTATGGAAAGATGCACCTGGACACAACACCATCATACAAGTTTTCAAAGCTTATTCATAATTTTTATAGTTACTTATTGTGAACCAGTAACGGGGAGTTTGCAGACCAGCACCGGCGCACAGACTATCCCTGGTGTAACCCTAAACTAGAAAATCTCCTAGAGGCCTCCCACTTCTAAGGCGCTATGACATTAACGTTACAGACCTGGTTTTGCTAAGGAAGGGAGCAAGCTGGAAAGAGAAAGGTCAGTTACTAGCAGCGCCAGGCCTGGCACAGCACCTACTGTATTCCCAAGGTATGCTAGTTTCCCTCCTATGAAATGAGAGATATAGCCAGTGCCTTGCCTATTCCTGAGGTTAAGAAAATGAAAAAACATATGTAAAATCACAATGTAAGTACAGGTATCACCATTATTAAAATGCTGATAATAACTCCAAATATAAAGCCACAAATTCCAAACCCGATTTCCTGAGACTTCAGGCTTATCCATAATCTTAAGGCATAACACGAAATTCCCCAAATAAATTTCATTTTACTTTACCTTTTTAAAACAACAAGAGCAAAAAAGTTAACACCTCTGATAAAAATATGGGAGTCAGAAAGAGGCACGAATATTGAGGAAAAGGATGAGTTTAATTATGCTGAATTTAGTGTGTGGCAGAATAGTCGACGATAAATAGTTGATAGGCAGTTCCAACTCAAAAGAAAGGTCAGACTCTGAGAAAAAGATTTTCGAGTTATTCACATACAGATAACAGTCGAAACAAGAAGCAATAAAAGGCTAATGGCAATGTGGCAACTCTGATACTCCAAGGAACCCAAAGCAAGTACACACAGGTTCAGATATACTTGTGGGTGCATTTTTGGTCTCAAAGGAAGCACAGCATATCTCTTCCCAAATTCCTTGGTCAAAAAACAAACAGCCCTGGCCCCGTGACTCAGCTGGTTGGAGCACCTTCCCCAAAACTGAAAGGCTAAGGGTTCCATTCCTGGTCAGGGCACATGCCTAGGCTGCAGTTCCACCTCTGGTCAGGGAGTGTACGGGAAACAACTGATTTCTCACTCTACCCTTTCGCTCCCTCTCTCTAAAATCGACAGGCATGTCCTTAGATGAATATTAAACAGGCAAACAAACAAATATTTTTCTTTTTTTTTTAAAGATTTTATTTCTTTATCTTTAGAGGGGAAGGGAAGGAGAGAGGGAGAGAAACATCAATGTATGGTTGCCTCTCATGCATCCCCTGCCGGGAACTGGCCTACAACCCAGGCATGTGCCCTGACTGGGAATCGAACCACGATACTTTGGTTCACAGGCCCGCGCTCAATCCACTGACCTACACCAGCCAGGAAACAAATATTTTTCTTAAAAATCAGAACTGAAGCAGGAGTGGGAAGCAGGGAATGGAAGAGATAATGGGCTGCCTTCACAGAACTTATCCCGACAAGATGAACCCGAGATTCTAAAATGAGTCCGGGACCTACAAAATCAAAGTTACCATGCACAGTAGAGGGCAGACCACTTTTCATTACAGGAAGGAAAAAAAGACAGACACAGACTTAGGGAGCTGCCACGCCCCCAGAACCCCCATCAGTTCTCCTGCCCCAAAGCTCGTGAACCCTGTGCTACAGGACCTTATAGAAGCTTCCTCTGGCAGGCATGATCTAGTATTAACTCCATCTCCAGCCCCTCTCCTGTCTCTGGGGGGATGAGGTTCAGATGAAAATTCCTAACCACAAATAAAGGCTTGGTCTTTCTGGTGACTGGCACCCAATCACAAGCCACCCAGGAGCCCACCTGGAGTCACCTCATAGGAACAAAAGATGCTCCCAGTGTGCTTATCATTTAGAAAATTGTAAGGGTTTTAGGAGCTGGGGACAGAGACCAATACATATTTTCCTTTATCTCACAATGAACCTTAACAATTTATAGCAGTAATCACCTTTACTTTTAAAAAGAAGATACCAAATCAATAACCTAACATTCCACATTAAGAAATGAGAGGGAGAGAAAACTAAACACAAAACAAGCAGAAGAAAGAAAACAATGAAGACTAAAAGAGAAATAAATAAAAAAATAGGAAAAGTATGAGAGAAAAATTGATGAAACCAGACATTGGTTCTTTGAAATGATCAACAAAATTAACAAGCTTTAAAGTTCAATTAACCAAAAAGAAAAAGCATCAAGTTAGCAAAATTAGAAATGAAAAAAGAACATTACAATGTATCTTAAAAGAAAAAAAAATTTATAAGGTACTATTACAAAAAAGTATGCCAATTAAATTAGATAATGAGGAAATGGACACTTTTCTAGAGATACACAAGTTTTGAGTTTCACTAGAGAATAAAAGTCTGAATAAACTGACTGTAGCAAAATTACAACTAAAGCTACCAAACAACCATCATTCAGAACCACTTGAAGTCTAGCTGAGTGGAAGTCCTACAACCAAGGGTATAAAAAGCCACATCGAGACTGGCAGAGGGGATGAAGATGCTGCAAACTGGTCCCACCCACATGGCAGATAAGATTCGGGAAGGGTATTTCAGCTGTGGAGGTCCCCCTTTCAGGAGTGAGGGGTCCCAGCCTCACACCAGGCTCCCCAGCCCCACACCAGGCTCCCCAGCCCAGCCAGGGTTCCAGTGACAGGAAGTGAAGTCCCTGTAACTTCTGGCTGTGAAACCCAGCGGGGATTGTGGATGAGTGAGACGGAGGGCTGCTGATGTCCCAGGCAGTTCCTCTTAAAAGGTCCATGCACAAATGTATTCGTGCTCACTCCCAGTGCTCACTCCAGCACTGGGGCAGCAGCTTGAAAGGCACAAGGGACACACAGGCAGGAACTTACCGCATTTTGCCATATATACTGTGCACTTTTTGCCCAAATTTTTAAGAAAAAAACAAGGATGAGCATTATATATGAATATAATGGCTACATAATGTGAGTATTATGATCCCATGTATAAAGTGCTCAGAAACATGGGTACACATTATAAACAGCAAAATATGAAAGTCGTCTGGCATTAGGGCAAGAGCTGGGGGGTGGGGCAGCATTCTAGCAGACAAAACTGCTGGCAGAGGCCATTGTTCCTTTTCTGATCACCCTCCCCTCAGACCAGCAGGTAGATGCCACATCTGAGTCTCCATCAGCCTACCTCTCACTGTTCAT